AAGAACAAAAGCAACCGGTGCTGGTGCGGATGTGGCGAGAAAGGAACACTCCTTCACTGTTGGTGGGAATGCCGACTGGTTCAGCCCTTTTGGAAAACAGTATGGACGATTCTCAAAAAATTAGAAATTGAGCTCCCATTTGACCCAACAATACCACTCCTGGGAATATATCCCAGAGAGGCAAAAATGTATAGTCGAAGTGACATCTGCAATTGTTTGTTCATTGCAGCACTCTTTACAATAGCCAGAAACTGGAAGAAACCTGAATGCCCAAGAACAGATGACTGGTTAAAGAAACTTTGGTACATCTACACAATGGAGTACTATGTAGCTGTTAGAAAAGATGAAGTCATGAAATTTACATACAAGTGGTACTACATGGAAAGTATCATGTTAAGCGAAATTAGTCAGAAAGAGAGGGACAGACATAGAAAGATTGCATTCATCTGGGGAACATAAAGTAACAAAATAGGAGACTAATACCCAAGAATGGCCAAGATTAGTACCAGAAATTTTGCTCCATGGCTTGGAGGCCTGCCGCATATGCTGGGGGAAAAGGGAGCTCAGATAGAGAAGGGAACACCAAATAAAGCCTGTACTTCTTAAGCTTCTCTTGGGACTTATGGAAGACAGATCCCTGAGCAGAGGGGTCATCTAAGGAAACTCTGTTGCAGGGGCAAAACAGAAGCAAGCACACTGGTGACCAGTTTTCAGAATTTTTCATTTACTGTCCCCCCCCCACCAGCTGCCTGCTCTTGCTGGAGCCTGGGCTCTGTGAGGGAGTGGGTGAGTGGAGCTCTGTCTCTGCGGTGGGACTCTGAGCCAACTGAGGCAGAGGCTGCCTCCCCTGGCCCCTGGCCCCTGGCCCCTGGCCCTGGGTTTCCTCTCACTCCTGACCCCGGGCTTCCAACCCAGGGTGAAGAGGGAAGGTCGGCTCTCGGAGCTGCAGGGCTGGCTAGTGGCTTGAGCTCTCTTGCTGGGTTTGCTCCATGTTCATTATCCCTCCCCCAGCCCACCTCTCTCCCCCAGCCTGGCTCTATGGATCTGTGGCAGGCACCGTCCTTCTCCCCTTCCCCAACCTCTTTTCTTCCTTCTCCCCCCCATCCCCTTTCCTTTTGGGCACTCTGATCTGCAACACAGATACTGAGAGGTTATCCTGATTGTTCCTTTACCTCCTTTCAGCACTCAGTTTCTGTCCAGAGTGATCATTTCCCACTATCTTTGGTTTTTTTTTTTTTTTTTTTGCTTTTTGGGTCATACCCGGCGATGCTCAGGAGTTACTCCTGGCTCATGCACTCAGGAATTACTCCTGGCGGTGCTCAGGGGACCATATGGGATGCTGGGAATCGATCCTGGGTCGACCGCGTGCAAGGCAAATGCCCTACCCGCTGTGCTATCTCTCCAGCCCTGTGGTGTTTTTTGTTTCTGTTTTCTTTTCGGGTCAAACCCGGCGATGCACAGAGGTTATTCCTGGGTCTGCACTCAGGAATTACTCCTGGCGGTGCTGGGAGGGACCATATGGGATGCTGGGAATCGAACCTGGGTCGGCCATGTTGGCTGCGTGCAAGGCAAACGCCCTTCCCGCTGTGCTATCGCTCCAGCCCCTCCCACTATCTTTGTCATAATGGTCCCTTCTCTATCCCAAATGGGCAACAGATTTTAAAACGAAAACCAACTACTTTCCATCACTCAATGAAAAACCCCAAATCCAAGTTACAGGGTCTTAGGGGGTACTGTTTCAGGGAGTCCATTTAGCAATATTTTTTAACCTTAACAATCATAATATGCAAATTAATAATTATTATTAATAATACGCAAATATACTGCTTACCGTAATGAGTAGTTGGAGGCATATTCTTTCCTATGGAACACAAAGGACAAAGTGTGAAAGGCAAAAACCCTGTTCTCAATTCACATGCTGAACTGCAAATTCACTTACAGTCTATTACAAAAACAAAACAAACAAAGCCACAGCACTCCAAGAAACACAAATCCAAACTTATAAAGTTGCACTACAGTAGGTAATTTCAAATGTACGTTGGTCAACTAGATGGTTGCTAAGTGGTGTCTTTAGATCTATTGAATTCGATGTCCTACCATCCAGACAGCTGCTCTTCTGCGCCATCCCCTCTAGGTTTAGAACAGAGTTGGTGGCTTGAAATATTTCAGTAAATATTTGAGGTTCAGATATTCAGCATTGATTGTCTGGGATCTGGGGAGCCCAGAGTCTTCCTGTGGGTTTGCTCATCAGTGCAGTAAGTGTGACCCTCAGCTGCAAAACCAGAAGGAAAAGCTCAGACCCCCAAGAGTTTCCTGTGGGCTATGTTTTCTGTCTCAGTACCGTGGAGCCAGAGCTGTTCTGAGATGAAGCTAGACACAGGTCCTCCACAGAGGGGCGTCTGACTGCCCCACTCAGGGAAGCGCAGAGACTTGAATTGGAGAGGGACCTCTGGGGTGAGCCAGGTCAGCGCGATCACCTGGGACTGTCCCATCACTGCTGATTCCAGAGCCTGTCCAGCCCACGTGGGCACTGTCTGCTGTCCTTTCTCCTGCAAGGAAGCCGCATCTCCCTGCCTCCCTTCGCTTCCCTCCTCCTTCTCCCATGGGATCTGTGTCTCCTTTATTCTCCCCGAACTCTGTGTCTACACTGCCTGGTACAGCAGGAATCTCCCAGATCTCATTTTAACGCACCGTCGCCCTCTGAACGTCTCCTGGCCGTGGGCTGCTGGACAATTTTCCTCCCCATATTTGGGTGGGATTGGGTGCTTTTTTCTTATTAAGTCCCACCAGTGCCTTATATACCTTTGATATTCACCCTTCTCAGATGGATGTTCAGTAAATAATTTTCTCCATTCTGTGGGTTGTCTTTGTATCTTGGCTGCTATTTCTTAATTTTTTTATTTCTTAATTTTCTTTACAGACTTATCAACTTTCGTGGTTCCCTTTCAGTCATACAATGATCAAGTATCCATCCCTCCACCAGTGCCCATTCTCAACCACCAGTGTTCCCAGGATCCCTCCTGCCACTCCCCTGTGGCAGGCACCTTCCCTCTTACTCTTTCTCTCTCCTTTATTTTAGGATCTATTTTAGGGTCCCGATATTATCTTTGCAGCAAAGCTATGGCTTAACCACTCTTGCTAGTTTTGCTGTCCCGATAAGGAACTGCAGCGCAGAGAGGGGGAGCAACTTATGGTTTGGCCACTATTTCTTTTGAGGTGCAGAAGCTTCTTAGTTTAAGGTAGTTCTATTTGTTTATCTTTGCTTCCACTCCCTTGGTCAGTGGTTTAGTTTTAGCTTCTCTGCCTGTGTTTTTCTCCACGTGCCTTGTGGATTCAGGCATGATCTTGACGTCTTTAATCCGTTTTGATCTGACTTCTGTGCTTGCAGTTAGAAAGAGATCTGAGTTCTTTTATTTACTTATCTACTTATTTATTTATTGCATGTAGCTGTCCAGTTTCCCCAGCACCACATGTTGAAGAGGCTTTCCTTGCTCCTCTTCATATTTTTTGTTCCTTTATCAAAGATTAAGTGAGGAATGACGAAGTCCTAAATGCATCATGGAAATAATTTCAAATAATAATCATTTCAAATCAACAAGTAAACTTAAAGACAGTGGGAGGTGATCACTGAGCGTTCCTGCTTATAAACCATCTGCCCCCAGATTTATAGGGCCGAGAATCCAGCTTCACCAGGCGAAGTGTTGATCACCACTTTTGTTTTCGATCTGGTTGAGGCTGAGAATTTAGTTCACCCAAGTGGGTCACACTGTGGGTGATAATATCAGCCACATACTTTTTCTATTTAACTTTGGGAATTCATGTTCGATCTCAATAGGAAATGATAAACACAAGCGTTAAGTCATATAATCGGTCTTCAGTGTGAATGACTGAGCTGCAATAATTTATTCTCCTTGGGCAACACCAAGTTAAGCTCAATGATTAAATCAGGGGTTTGGAAAAGAAAGTGGATTTGTAATCCAAGTGTTTTTCTTTCATGTTTCAATTTCTCTTTTGGAAAGTTAAAAATGAAAAGTTTAGGGCAGAAGGGAGTTGTAATAATATCTCTAATCCTGTTTCATTTGGGCTCTGTTCATTGGAAATGTTCTCTTTGATATGTTGTAACAATACTGGGACCATTTGGCAGATAGGGTGATTACTTATATCCCGCTTACAAGGCAAATAAAATCTTTTGAACCCCCTGGATATGTTGAGCATTTTGTTGATTTTCCTCTATGGTTTCAAATTTAGTTCATTAGGAGTGCTGAAAATTACAGCACACCATGCCAGTTTTATTAACAAACATCCTCTTTGAAAAAGAGGCCAAATGATACAGCTTCTCAATTAGAAAAATGTGCATTGAGTTCTGGAGGCCATAAACACACTTAACACACCCGCAACGGCCTCGAAAGCCGGGGTGAAGCAGGAAGTGGAAACTGATGAACTATGAGATCCAAATAAAATAACCCAGGGTGCCAGTGACTTGGGGAGATTCTTTTTTTTTTTTTTTTTTTTTTTTTTTGCTTTTGAAGTCCAGTTACCTTGGAGTTTATTTCAACTAAGAGAAAAAGGTCATGTTTTCATGCAATACATACTTGGTTCTTTAACGATTATGACAAGTACAGAAAGAATTAGGGAATGCGGCACTTGTAATCCATACAAAACACCAAACATTTTGGGTTGTACATAATTTAAAGAAATGTCTCAGACACTTTTTGAAATACTGTGGTAGCCAATACACAGAGGCATGCCTTAGATGGGCAGAGAAATGCAGTTTAGAAAGAAAAAGAAAAATTACACCAAAACCACTCAATTTCTTTAAAACCACTGAGCAAGAAAAGCAACATTGAACTTCCATACTGACTTAAACAACTTCTCTGCAATACCTTGACTTAAATCCAAGAGCAAAAGTTAAGACTCTCCTCTCCTCTGTTTTGGTAAACAACTGCATGGTAAACCTAGGTGACTTGTTTCCCTGGACTTTACCTGGCCTTTTTAATCTTTTATTTAAAAGAGGGCAGGTTTGGCACTTGAATACTGATGTCACCAATGTTTATATTTCTTAGGATCTCAGGAAGATTCATAATCTTTACAGCTGATACGGCACGGACTGGAGCTCCTGCTAAGCCAGCCTCAGATTTCTCCAGTTTATTTTGTGTATCGATTTGTGTGAAAATTTCGTTCATATTGGTCTCCAAGACCATTCCCTCCATCACTATTTCTGCAAGGATATTGTGAAGTCATACCTGTCCAGCACTCCCACAGCAGAATTCAGTGATCTGAATTAAGTCTAGAATGCGAAGTTCACTTTCAGAAGAATCTACACAGAAAACAAAATACAATGTTCCATGTCTATACATCAGTTCGTTGTCAGATCCTCCGATCAACAATCCTCCTTCTAGGAAATCGCAAACATTTTCATCTCTCTTCGATACCAAATGGAATGTCTCCCTGATGATCTGCTGTCGTGTATCTTCACGGTAGGGCTGGTAGAACTTGGAGATCCGTGGCTTCCCGTGGTTGTTGAAGATGAGAATCGCCTTGATGATGGCTAAGCCGGGCTGACTCAGTGGGCCCTTGGGGCCAGGGGCGGGAGCCCGAGCCTGGCCTCAGTATCTTGTTGGCGATCCTTCCCCACCCGCCCCTCCCCGAGACATGAACATGAAACATTTTAATCTCGGGGCGATTCTTTTGAACAGAAGAACCATTTAGCCCAGCTTTCTAAGTTTGTTTATGAAGATCTTGGATGCCTAACGTCCCAGATGTGCACGCAGCACCATGAGAAGCAGCATCTAACCGTTTCTGAATGACTCCGCCTTGTCTCTGCCCGGGTCGCTTCACTTCTCTAGAGAGTTCTCATTTACTCCAGAGTGATCATCAGTCCACACTCTTTAGACTGTAGCAGCGTCTGTGTCGTTTAACTTGGTGTGAGAGTCAACTTAAGCCGCATCAGCCTTTCCCCATGAATAATCTCACCACCATGTCTGATAGTCACCAGCGGACAGCTTCTCTTGTAGATCAGCACCCTTGTCTTGGCTGCTTTTTGTTCTGCTATATCATTCAAAATCGCCTTTACTCTATGCATACTGAAAGCATGTTATTTTAGGAGCTATCTATTCCATTTTCTCTCTCACCCTACATGCCACTGCATTCAAATATTAATGAGAAGATGAACAGCACTTCTTCTTACCTGCAGTAGAATAATTAAAATATCCAAAGCAAATGCATTCATTAGAAATTTCTTTTTTAATTGAATCCCCAAGGAACAAAGTAGTTCATGACTGAGTCTCAGGTGTGTGATGTCTGACACCCGTCCCTTCATCCACGTTTTCTTCCCTCTCCTAATATTTCCTGTTTCCTCCACTACCTGCCTCTCTGGAGGCACTGTTTTTTCTGCTCACTGCTGTGGTTTGCAGTACTATTCCTGATGGATGCCATGCATGTCCTTTGCCTCCTTCCAGTGCCCAGTCCTTGTCCAGAGTGACCACTTCCCTCTATCACGTTGTCATGTCCCCTCCCTGACCTGTTCCCCCGTTCCACAGTGCCAAGCTTCCTGCTAAGGACCAGTCCTCCTGCTCTTCGTATCTATTGCCTTTGGGCATTATTAGTCCCCTACTATGTTTCCTTTGATCATGGAAAGCACCATATTTTTTAAAAAAATTATTTTATTTTTATAAAGTTGTTCGCAATAATATTACATTTAATATTCCAACATGAATCCCACCATCATGACACCTCCCCACCATCATATTTCGAAGGTTTCCACCCCAGCCACTAAAGCCTGCCCCCAAAGTAGGACCTAAATAATTTATTTTGTATTGCTTTTCATGAATAATCTGCTAAAAATGATCTAAAAAAGTTTCCTTAGAGGAAAGTGTGTGAAGATTGTCGTATTTCCCCTTGGAGCCGTTAAGTCCTTGTGTAAGAGATTACTAACATGTTGTTAAAGGTTGGGCCTTGTGTGCTAATAGATATATTTGATTATTATATTAAATATATTTATAAATATATTAATACATATTAATATATAAGAATATTATTCCCCACAATTGGCTGGAAAGCACCATCTTAACATTCCTTGTGAGCAAGCTCTGTTTTAGGGTCCTGATATGTAATGTATTATCTTTGCAGCAAAGATGTGGACTAACAACTCTTGCTAGTTTTGCTATCCAGAGAAGGAACTGAAGCACAGAGAGGGAGAGCGACTTGCCCAAGGTGTCCAGCTTTTCACGAAATCTGCTATTGAACTCTGGCAACTAACTTTAGAATGGGACCCCTAAGCGATGCATGGATCAAGATGCAAATTGCATCACTAATTTATGTCTTCTTTCCCCACTTTGCTTGCAAAGGTTGAAGTGTGAAAAATATCTCATGATCCCAAAAGGCAGAATCTTTCACTTTCTGAGGGATTTACATATTTAAAGTTGTCCCTGAAATCACCTCCATTATAAAGTTGTTTTTTCTTCTTTTTAATATTGTTACCATTTTATTATATATAACACCATGATTTACTAAGTTGCTCACAATGCAGTTGTTTCAGGCATTCAGTGTTCCCACCGCAACCCCACCTCAGGGTGCCCTTCCCTCCACCAGTGTTCCCAGTTTCCCACTCCCACCCCCCGGCTGCCCCCCTTAGCAGGCAAAACAAATTTACTTCATATTGTTTGCTACAACACAAAGACAAATGGAATGATGAAATCTTAGACCAATAAAAGCCAACTTGTGATCATTGCTATGTCTCACAGTGGTGTTACTGAAGTCATTGAAGAATTCCTCGGTGGGTCAGTGCAAGTTGAATCTTCTGTGTTATTGTTTCGGCTCACTGAACCCGGTGGTCTTCTATGAAACTTTCCCATCAGGTTTGCTGTGACCCTACTGGGCTGGCAGCACTATGGAATTTGGAGGAGCTGCATGGCCGTGTGTGTGGCTGCGTGGTCCAGGGGCTGTGGTGCAGGAACAATTTGGTGGCTTGGCAGCTTGATGAGGTTCAGTTGTGGAGCTGGGCATTCCTGTGTAGGAGGGGGTTGGTTGCTGTACGCTGTCATGCTTTCAGACAGAAAGGGAAATCCACTGCCCCCATTCCTGGAAGGCCCAGAGTTCTCAGCCCAGGTTGCAAGGTTGGTTCCAGAGGGAAGGTTCAACCACATCATGTTCCTTTTGAGATAGGCTGTACTGCTTCTCTGCTGGCAATATGGTGGGTGTCAGATTTTGCTTCTTATGATGCAGTTCTAGGTCATCCATCCTTGGTGAGAGTCAGCCTTGGGCTCAGTATCGAACTTCCAAGTTCAGCAGGAGAAACTGTGTTTCAGTGCTGTCAATCAATAAAAGAGTGTAAGAGAAGACTCAAATACTCAAATGTCCCTTCAATAACAAATAACAATTAAAAAAAGGACAGGGAGAAAAGAAGGACCTGGGGGAAGGTGGGGGGTGGGGAGAGACTTTATTCTATTAGGGCCCCTGGAGCAGTGCTTTGGGGTTCTCTGGGGCGAAGACTGGACTGACTCAGAGCGAAAAGCAACTTGGATAGACTCTGGGGTCCTTTCTACAGGAGATGGTCTGGGAGGCAGGATACTGGCGGGGCATGCTAAAAAGCCTGTCTGGAGCATCCCTCTGCTCATCTCTGTGTGCTGTTATGTGGGCAGGTGCACATGGGAGGGTAGTTCAGTGTGGTTCGCTAGGGAGGGCCTTGCAGGTCCTTCGACACCACCAATTGAGTGGCCACACAGAAACAGGGTGCAGTGCTTCAGGCACACATTGAGCCCAGCCAATCGAGCCTCAGTTCAATGGCTGCCATTTTGCTCACAGTGTTTTGGGGACCACTTGGTGCTGGGGTTTGAACCCGGGGCTTGTTTATATAACCCCAGTCCCACGCTTATGTGTCTCTGATTTGAAAAAAGATCTTATTAAAGCACTGTGATTTACAAAGTCATTTATAGTTGAAGTTTGGGTCTCTTGGTTTCAGTGCTTTGAGTCTGTGGTTCGGATAGTCGGCTCTGTCGTTCTGTAACACCACCTTTAGTATCTTGACCCCTGACCTGCCCCCTAGCGCTTCTCGTTTGTCTCTTCTCCCCTCCCTCCACTCTTTCTTTCCTTCCCCCCCCTATACTCTGGGGTCAAGGTTGATCTGGGGCATCTTCCCTTTCAAACATTGCATTCTCTCATCCAGTTATTCTACATGCCACGTACAAGTGATACCTCTTCTGTTCCAGTCACCTTCCTTATTAACTGGTTCACTTTTCCATATCTTTTGTACACTGTCTCCTCCAGAACAACTTTTTTTAGCCTGTCCTCTAAAAGGAATTATCTTGTCTTTGGGTTAGCGCTATCTGATGTTAAATCTATTAACTGAGTATGAAATGCTAATCGTGATTTTTTTCATGAAAAAATGTTTTGTAAATAAAGGGTGTTTGGAGGATCCTCCCAGGAGGGGAGATGCATATTGAAAGTAGACTATGGACTGAACATGTTTGCCACTCAATGCCTCTTTTGCAGACCACAACACCCAAAAGGAGAGAGAGAACAAAAGGGAGTGCCCTGCCACAGAGGCAGGGTGGGATGAGGGGGATGGGGGTGGGAGGGATATTATCCATGGTGGTGGAAAATGGGCACCGGTGGAGGGATGGGTATTTGATCATTGTGTAATCGAAACCCAAGCACAAAAATTTGTAAATCTAGAACTGTACCTCATGGTGTTTCACTAATAAAAATTAAAAAATAAATAAATAAAAAAATGTTTGGTATTGTCAAAGTCATCTTGGTCTTGTTTTTTATAGTTTCTTATTTGTCAGACACAATTGTCAACTCTGTCTGCTTTCTTAGGTCACAGGAAGCAGAACTAGTCAATAAGTTTTGACCGATAATTCCCATACTTAAATTCTTTCAGGGGAGGTTCTGTTTTTCGCTATTATTTTAGCTATTTCTCAGTTTTGATGATGGAACTTTCTGTGGGATTACTGAATTTTTGTCATGCAAAGCTCATCTACTTTTGTGTGTGTGCTTAAGAGAGAGGGAGAGAAAAGTCATTTTCCCAGGAGTTTTTGCCTTGCAGTGCATTGCACGGCATTACCAGTTAAGAATCACTTTCAAATAAATGCTTGCTTCGAGAATTATTTATACTCCCTTAGATACTGAGTATTTTGGGCAATAAATTGGTGTGAGAAATGGCTTGTGGGAATAACTGAAAGGATTTTTCTTTCTCTTCTTTTCTTCCCCCTCCCCTTCGCATTGATTATTATTTTTAAAATTGTTCTCCCTCTGAGAGTAGAAAGCCTTTCCTTCAGGCCTGAGAATCGTCAGGAATTTTTACACTGGGTAGGTCCTGCTGCTGTTTCAGACCTTAAAAATGAAACACACGCTCAGGTTAGACAGAGTTGGCCAGAGAAAGCCCGCACAACTCCCCTTCCCTTTCTGGATGCCCCTCTCACTCATAACTAAAAATCCATCATCTATATTTCACGTGCTGCATCTCTGTTTGCCATGAAGGTATTTTGACCGCCTGTCCCAGCATCTTCATGAAACATTTGATCTACAAACCGGACCATTTACATTCCCCTTCCACAAAATATTTCTCGTTGTT